TCACCATGGAGCTACATCCATGATTTCACAAACGCCGTTCCTACGCAACACATCAGCTATTTTATATCCCGCAATTTATTTATTATATACAACAATGCCAGGCGTAGTGAAACCTGTGCGCTCTGTGGGAAAGAAACTTTGACCCTGCATGAAAAGACGCGACAAGGCTGGGGGAGTTTTCTCAAGTATAGGCAGGCGCTCATCAAATTGTCAATTTTCGTTGGACTTCCGCCACCAACTTCCGCGCACCCATACAAAAACCACACCGCCATTTTGGCTTCAAATAGCGAGGAGACGGCCGAATTTCTGTCAGCTATCAGAAGAGTAACAATAAAAACATTTTTCCCAGAAATTACGAAGACAATACTATTGTGATGCATAATATACTTTGACATACTCTATTAACGTTATTTTATTTTTATTATGACATTTGCGAGTCGGATTTTACCCGGGGCCCCTGACGATTTTACCCGGGGCCCCTGACGATTTTACCCGGGGCCCCTGACGATTTATAAATTTATAAACAATCAGCGGATTGGTAATTTGCATACATGTGCGTACAAGCTCCACCCACTGTTGACTTTATAAACATGGCGGGACAGACAGTTTCGCCAACTCCGCGTTTTGTAGAACAAAAACGATCACACAAATAGATTTGCACCGATTTAATTTGTTTTTTTAAAAACAGTGTTGTTCCAGTTGTGGTACTCGAACTTTTCGTGGTGTTTCGGCAGTGTCCAAAAGGTACGCGGAGCAACATTTGTGTTTTCGCGTAAATTTAAACAAAATTATCTCAACTCCATTTTCGACTTCAACCAGGTCCTTCAAAACTCTTTAGCTCCCAGAATATTTTGTCATTTCCTTTGAAATTTTCAGGAATAGTTGTTCCGGTCTGGCACATTCAAAGTGCGTCGTGTGGATTTATTGTTTGGAGGAGAAAAAAGTAACCGCATTGTCAATCGGCAATAGCGTTAATTACGGGTCAAGAAGGCATTGCGAAAAACTACAAACTTTTGTTCTATAATCCCAGTGAACATAAGTTTTAAACAAGTAAAAACTGCCATTCGATAAACCTATGCGTTCAGAAGTTAAATATTTTTAAACAAAATTTAACCAAAAACGGGCATTTTCAACCACAACCACAAAAAATGCATCAACTGTTGAAAAGCTGAAAAAAAAAACTTTTATATGGTATATAACATGACAAAATTAACGTATTTGTTAGTAGTGTAGTTTATTGTTTAAAATTCCTATAAATCATGGTGCAGCGCCACCTTAAGTGTTGCGTGCGTTAAAAAAAATGTGCACAATGCATTGTGGCATATATGTGTATGACATGTTTAGGGATATCCGTTCCAAATCTGTCACATAAATCAACACTAATATGCACTAATGAGATTTACTGATATTTAAAGTACGACTACGAGGCTAATGGCAGTTAACGTTCTGTTTGAGGGTCGAGGTTTAGTAAATGGCAGAGACCATATATACTTATTTTTGAAAATTCAATATGGCAGTCAAATCACGTGACTCCCCTGAATTTTTGTTCAGCTGTCTGAAGGGATCAATATAAATATTCAACGTGCCGAATTTGAAAATATATGTGGAATCAGTAAAAAACTACTGAGGAAATCCAAAATAGCGGCTCAACCATGTCGCCAATCATAATAGCATAATGCACCCGTTATATACTAGTACTGA